AATTAGTAACTTTGTAAAATTAGCCCTAAAGTCTACTCTTGCCTTTGGCCCTAACCATACAAGCTTAAAAGTAAATCTCAAAAGGAACAAACTGTTTCTAAGTCATTTAATTGTACCTCAAAATAACTAGTTAAGAAATGACCAAATACCCTACCCTCAACAAAGTAAAATTCATATGACTGGCAGTCAGTCAAATACCAGGCAATTCTATCAGTAGATAGAGGCTTAGAGATGACACAAGTGCTGGCATTAGTAGACAAGGGACATTACAACACATTCCACATGTTTGCTAAGGTAGAGGAAAGCATGGGAATGTTAAGGAAAGGCATAGAAGATATAAGAGAACTCCTAGAGATGAAAGTACAATGTCTGAGATGAAAAATATACTGGATGTATCATCAGCAAATTAGACATGCTAGAATAAAAGAAGAGTGAATAAGATGTGTCCAAGCAATTATCCAAAATGAAGCAGAGGGGAAAACAATGAGCAGAGTATCCATGAACTGGGGGACTTCAAGCAGCCTGATACAAGTGCAATTGAGCCCTGAAAAGAGAAGGGAACGCAAAAACATATTTGAAAAAAGTAATAGCCCAGAATTTCTTCAAATTTTATTAAAATCTACAGATCCAAGAAACCCAACAACCCCACACACAGGAAAGAAGTGAGAGGGAAACCCCAGCAGGGACATCATGGGATAAATGAGAGCAGAGGCAGCCTCCCCTGGAGAGCCTCAGTCAAAGCAGAGCCTCCAGGACAGACAGACCTCAGTTCAGGCAGAAGTGGAGGTAAGCTTGGGTCTGAGCAGCGAGTCCAGGGGGCAATAGAAAGACTTAAGGACGTTGTCAGGGAAGAGGAATTGCACACACCCCCACCCCAGGAGCAAGGGGAGAAGTAAGGCCCAGGGCCCAGTATATCTAACTTTTCCAAAGATTGTTTCTACCATTCACAATGGGCCTTTTATTTGGTCAAGACGGCCCATTCCTTCTGGTAAAAATGCTCCTTCTAACAGTGGATGTCATGGGGGACTTGTCATTTTTCACAAGCCCCAACTCCTTGATGTCTGTGACTAGAATAGGAGTTAAGAGATGCTGTAGCTAGGTCATCCCTCACTCCTCCCCAGGAGTTTTGCCATCAGGAACTGAGCGGCTGTCCCTTTTCTGTGATGGAGCTGAAGTCATGCACCTACCAATTGCTGGCAGCCATATTGCTAAAGATATGAAGAAAGCTTGTTGGGGAGAGTATAGCCAGCAGTGGGGGTCTGATGGCCTTCCAGTGACTGTCACTTGTCTCTGATGCTCTCTGCCCTCCCGCCCTCACCACAGTTTAGTTATGTGAACCATTACATCACCCTGTTGGGCTGGGGATGTAGCTCTGGTAGAGTGCTTGCCTAGCCTCCCAAGGCCCTGGGATCAATCCCCAGTACTACACAAAAGTCATGTAAATCACCCCTTTGGCCTAAGTTAGTGCAACCAGTATGTTTTACATGGAGGAAACATGGGGACAATAATTACAGAAATGACCTTTGAGTTGCTCTGTCCCCTTAAAATGTTTTCAGCATGGGAAGTCCAGTGAAGTTCTTAATGCCTCTCAGATCATAAAAATCTCATGTTCACTCTGAATCACCAATTCCAGAAAGACAGCATTCAATCTCATGTAATAGCAATAGTCACAGCTTTCAATCCTTTCGGAGCTGCACTTGATTCCTCTCCCCCAATTCTGGCTCACACCCGTATGTGCCTGACTCTGGAAAGGCAGGCATGCATGTCTTACTCCTTCAGCTCCCCACCACTTGCTGGCTGCTCTTTCTGGAATTGCTGTGGAAAGCAGAGAACATGAGCAGAAAAACCTCGGATAGTGTTTGTACTCTTGGGCCTGGAGACTGTTTAAACCTGACTCTTGTGGGGTGCTCTCCTGTTTTGGTGACTCCTATTTATTTTGGGGACTTCACCTCAGCCTTGCCGATCACCCCTGTGGCTTCTAGGAATCTAATTGTCTGCCTGCTTCTGGTAGCTAAGCATTTGTCAACCTTGTCGGCAGATGTTTGGGGAAGGACCTAAAATGACCTTACCCTAGCTTGTTCCTGCATCCCTTTCCACAGCAGATTCTGGGAGTGTGGCCCAGACCCAGACGCTGCTCTCTCCTGCAGCCAGGCAGCCCATCTTTGCCCTTAGACTTGTCAGGCAGAAGGCCGGCCCAGGCAGCCCACTCTGTTCTCATACCGTAAGAGCCACATGTTAAGCTCCCTTACCAGGCTGGAGTGAGGGACAAGGTTAACCAGGTATTCTGCCCTTTGAGGGGGATGAGGCGCGTAGAACATGACTCTGCCCAAGGAAACTCTGCCCAAGGAAACTTGTCAAATCCTCTTATCTCTAACAACTGGTTACTGTTACACTGATGCTGGGAAGGCCTTTAGAATTATGTAACAAATTTCAGGTATTTTCTTTGGAACTTTGCATCTCACTTTGGTATCTGAAATTAATCATCTTAGAAGCTTGACAGAAACTTTGTTTTCATACTAATTTGATAGAGATTTTGACTATTGTGACCAAGTAATCCTGGTAAGAACAGTCCACAGATATTTATTGAGCGCCCACTGTGTGCAGCCAGAGCCTTCGTGTAATATCAGTCTAGGACGTCTTAGGTGCAAACAGCCTGCTGGCAGAATTCTGCCCAGAGTCGCATTTTGGTGGATCTACATAATCTTTAGATTTTTTTCCTTGAATCTACTGCCAATATATATAGATTGAGACATTTTACCTTGAAAAAAGTCCAAATTCTTGGTTTAAAAAAAAATTCAGAAGCTGTGGTAATGCTGGGCCTGTGGTGTTGCCTGGCAAGTTAGCTGAGCTGGTAGAGGGTGCCTTTCACAGGATGACAGCTCCGGTCCCGTGGCCTGGGGTCTGACATACAGCCAAGAAAAAAAGTGGCCATTTAAAAAAGCTGCCTTTTTTTTTTAATTAAAAAAAAAATGGAATATTTCTGGTACTTATGTCTCTTAAGAAAAGAGAAATGGAGAGATAGACCAAGAGAGCTGTAGAAGGAACAAAATTTCCATAGAAATACAGTGATTTTATTTGTTCAGTGTGCAATCAGTAAGGAAGAGAAAGCTCAAGATGCCATTAGAAAATAAACCACAGATGTAATAATGTGAAAGGGGACAATTAATTGACAGTTCAACAGAATTGTTGTGAATGGCTGCAGAGGGTTTCATATTCTTCCATTTCCCTTGTGTTGAGTGTGCTCCTGCTTGATCCTCTGATGGGAGTTTGCTCAAGGGGGAAGGCATTCTCCAGCTTCTTGGGGAGGAATCTGCAGAGGCTGGGGCCACTGTGTATCAAGGGTCTTGCTCAGGCAGGTCTGAGGAGCAGCAGCATGATGGCTTCCCCACGTTGTAACCACGTGGGGACTAGTGACATGTATTTGGCAAGTTGATGTTTCCTTTTCATCAAAGGAGAAGATATGGATGTTGAAAGAGTATTAAACTTTGAAACTATTTACAAACTATTTTTTAGTTTGTCTTAATTGAAGCTTTTTTGAGTTTTTCTACCAGTTTTTCAAATTTCTTGGTATGTTAAGGAAAGTCTGATCTCTCTGAATCAAAGCACTGGAATTATTTTGAGGAAAGCTTCACTCATCCAAGGGAGTTCTCCTGGGCGGCAGGCTTTCCATTGAGTTCTGTGTCCTAGTTGGTTTCCAAGGGTAAGAAGAGGATGTCCTCTTCCTCCACAGCCTAGCTAATTGTGAAGGCTGGGGCTGCCCTTCACCAGCCTTGCAGAATGACCCCTGTGGTACTTGGCAGTGTAACTTCCCTCTCTTGGCCCTTCATTGATTACTGAAGGCTGAGTCCCTTGAAAGCCTTGCTGTGTGGCCTTTTCCATCCTAATTATACTCAGAATAAGCCAGGTCAGCTGAGAACTGCATTCATAAACCACCTTTTAAAAATCCATGAGCCAAGGTTTAAGAAACAATTCCAAGACACTTCCCAACATTTTCCTTATACAAACATTTTTGAGGACACAGGGAATTTGGTACTAGAAATAGTGATTTCCCTGACTTATTTTGTGGATGCTGTGACCCAGGAAACCAATGCTTTGCACTTAGTTGTAGCTATGGAAAACTTGGGATCTCTGATCTTGCAGCAAACACACCAGGCCTCAAGACATTCACTTTTGGTGTTCTCCTTCTCCCAGCTGCATTTTATTATTTTCCATATGCTAATTTCCCCTTAGGCCCTCAGAATATTTTTTTAAAACTTGTCCATACAGTTTTGTACAACTGTTTCAACCTCACCTTAAAATGAGGCAAAAATGTTAAAAAGTTGAGTTATCATCTGTTATAAGCATCTTTTTAAAAAATATTTATTTTTAGTTTTAGATATATACAATATCTTTATTTTTATGTGGTGCTGAGGATAGAACCCAGTGCCTCATGCATCCTAGGCGAGCACTCCACTGCTGCTGTAAACATCTTACCAATTTGTTTTTAATTTTTATTTTGAATTTCCTGTCTATCACATCTCTCAGTTCCCTTTGATGACCACAGAGATAATTGCTGCCATGATTTGAGGACCCCATGGCTGCCACATCTTCACTCCTTAGTTATCCTGCCTCAGTACACCAGTCATTGTGCCTCCACCTTAAAGGAAACAGAAATTGCTTCCAACCCTCTTCTCTAGGTTCCAATTTTGTGGTTCACTAAATTTCAGTTTCAAGTACCATATTTATGCAGGAAGGTGATTCTGTGTCAGCGTTAGGACTGGTCAGCCTAGAGGACTTAGGAGATCCATGGCATTAAACCTGGCTCTTCACAAAATAGGTGCTTAGCAGATGTTTTGTGACTTACATTTAGTTGTAGCTTATGAATTTGGTTGTTCTTTGAAGCAGTTGAATCATATACTTTTCCAAGGGGTGTTTGTCTCCATGGTCTAAGTCTAGGGAATGCAACCTGTTGGTGTTGGCAGTAGCTTGACTTCAGTGACGTTTCTGCTTTTCTTTTTCAGAGTATGACCGGTTGGGCTTCCTCCTGAAGTTGGACTCTAAACTGTAAGTAGAATGAGGAAATGCCTTGGTTCTGGTAGTCTGTGAAGGCTAACCTTAAGGTCACCTCTCTCACACCTGTGGTTGTAGGGAAATTCCCTGGGGCCTCTGTCTCCAGGTTGTCAGTAAAATCTCTGAGCACATTACACACTGCAGGGGCCTGGACAGGATGGGATTGTGGGTGCAAACATAAGGCCTTAGTTGTGGCTGGCATAGGCACCTCATTACAGAAGGGGGCCACTGCCAGGACATGTAGGCCCCCTGGACAGGAGGCTTCTACAGAGTGGAAGGCAGTTGAGTTACAGTCAAAGAAGCCTTACCTCCTGGCTGCAGCGCCTTCTCTGTTCAATCCTGGCTTCCCCTCCAGCTCCAACTCCTGTCACTCCTGCCACCTCTCTTCCTTTTTCCTTGGCCTTTGTAGCAGCTTTTTGTGTTACCTGTGCCTGAAATTCACTTTCCTTGCTCGTCCACTTGGAAAGCTCAAACATCACTTCCTCCCTTCACAAAATTAATTGCCTCTTCCTCTGTGCTTTCACTGAATTTTCTATCTCTGTTACAATTACGTTGCTGTACTATAATTAATTGTGTAATGGTTATTAATTTATTAAGGACACAGGCTCAGAGCCAGACAAACCTTGGTTCACATCCCAGTTTGCCGTGTATTCTCTTTGTGCTTCCTGGTTAGCTACTTAACCACTTTGATCCTCAATTTCATCTATAAGATAAAGACAACAAATGCACGCTTTGTGGAGTTGCTGAAAGGATTTAATTGAACTGATGAATTTACAGTGTGGCGGGGTGGAGTTTGGTACAGGATAGCTAATCCTTCCAGAATTCTTCCCTTTCCTGGCCTTCTTGATCTCTCTAGTTCTTAGACTGCACAGGTATATAATTGTTAGGTGCTCAGTAAACACTGATTTCGTGGATGGGTGGGTGGGTGACTGACTGTGTACTTGCCCATTTGACCTCTGTGCCTGGAGTTGCATATCTTTCCACTCTGTGCATTCATGCTCTGTGTAGACCACTCACATGGTTGATAAAAAAATTCTTGTAAAGGGGCTCGGGTTGTGGCTCAGTGGCAGAGTGCTCGCCTAGCACATGTGAGGCCCTGGGTTTGATCCTCAGCACCATATAAAAATAAATAAATAATACAAAGGTTAAAAAAAAAATGCTTGAAAAACTACCTTACCACCCCCGGAACTCCTTTTGTTGTTGCCTTTGTACACCTGTGTCTCCTATCCTGAGACAGGTATCATGGAAGACCAGATATCATGGAAGACCAGAGTTGTGGGTCCTTTTCTCTTTACATAAGGCCTTATCCATAGCTGCTTCAGATTGTGAAGATAATTTACAGAAGTTATCAAACCAGGGCCTGTTTGGCTTTCCCACTGAATTGTCTGGCATCTGGTTCGTTTTCCCGGAATCTGGTTTCTTGGCTCTGGTGCCTTGTGCTATGAGTTCAGGCATTGTAAGCCTCCCAGCTTCTACGTCATGGAGAGGCAGCCAGAGGGGAAGAATGGTTTGCTCTTTCTGCCAGGCTGGTGGAGATTAGCCACATGCTAACATCTGGGGAGTGGAACTTGATTGTGTTAGAAAGCACCACTTCACTGTTAGAAAATTCTTAATTTAGTGCTCCGAACAAAAAAACAAACAAACAACAAACAAAAAACACTTTTTATAAGCAAGTGAAATGCCACCAGAATGGAAGAGAGAGTAATTACTAAGTTGAATCACATTGGTGAAACAAAGGACATGTTTTTGAGGACATGCTATCTCCAGTATTTAAGCTGTCTTCAGCAGGGAAGGAGGAATGTTCTCCTCCTGCCGTGCTGTCCTGACAGAGGAGTGGTACAGAGCAGGCTGTTGTGTATCAGGCTGCCTCCATGAATCTTCTGAGTCAACCGGTTTTTGGCCAAGGAATTGGGTTGGCCCTGTTTAACTCACAATCTAAGGTGTAAGCTAGAACTTTCCTTCCTCTTACTTGTATAAAGGCTTTTGCAGTCCAGTGCTTTCTTCAGAGGAAAACAGATATCTAAAGAGGGTTTCTATCCTCTTTCAAAGAGAAGTTTCCAAGTTAAGGGTTCTGCTTTTGGGGGCAATTCCTCAGCAAAGTTTAGATTTCCCTTTCCAAGTTTAGGTCTGATATCTTCCAGTCCTTCTCAGAGGAACTGGATTGGAATTCTTTCTCTGCTGCTTCGTATTGTGTGACCTTTGGTGATTTATTTTAGCTTTCTGAATTCCAAGTTTCCTTTATGAAAGATATAGGTATGTAACACTCTCTATAGTTTTATGAAGAATAAAAGAAAGGATTCTATAAACTGTGAATTGTAATTGATTTAAGGAGTTCTTTTTATTTATTTTACTAGGATTTATTTAGCTCCTTTTAAAATTTCTTCCTTTTAGTTATACATGACAGTAGAGACTATTTTGACATATTTAAACAAACATGGAGTATATGTTATTCTAATTAGGATCCCAGTGTTGTGGATGTACACAATGCCAAGATTCACTGTGGTGTATTCATACATGTACATAGGAAAGTTATGTCACATTCTACTGTCCTATTCCTATCTCCCTCCCTTCACTTCATTCAATGGATTTGTCTAATCCACTGACCGTATTTAGCTTCTTGAGTATAAGAACTTATATCTTCTGGAAATTTTTAGCCATTCTCTTAAAATATTGCCTCTTCCCTACTCTCTACTCCTCTTTAAAACTCTGATTCAAAAACTCTGATTAAATTTAAGACTGAATGCAGTGGTGCACACCTGTAATCCCAGTGGCTTGGCAGACAGAGACAATTTATCGAGACTGTGTCTCTAAATAAAATATAAAAACGGGCTGGAGATGTGTGACTCAGTGGTTAAGCGCCCCTGGATTCAATCCCCAATACCACAAAAAATAAAATAAAATAAAAGCCTATCTATAATCAACTGTAACTCCAAAGGACTTAGAGTAAGGATGAACTAGAAATAAACCTGAATCCCTGAGGCAGGCTTACGGGAAAAATAACCACAGCTCTGAGTGAATTAAGGTAAACAGTTAATTAAGCAAAACCTTGATACTCATTGCCATGATTCCCATTGTCCAAGTGATCTAGGGAACTTTAACGCCATGAGTACTGTTGAAGACATTAGCGACGTGGCAGTGCCTTTAAGCACCTGGCAGAAACAAATACAAACCCTCTTTGAAGAAAGATGTGAATTCCTTACAAATAACTTTTCAAGGAAATGAGCTGCAATAAAACTCAATTCACAAGAAAATGAGCTTTTATTAGTTGAGAACCATGAAGAATAACAGACAACAGAGGAGAACCCACAGACATTTCTGAAATTGGAGTTACCACAGTGTATAGAACAATTACATATACTATCAAGAAATTTAATAATTGACCTATGTGCACAAAAAGTCAAGTATTAGATTAAAAAGTAATGAACTTCTAAAATTGGAAAATATGATGATCCAAATTAAACACTCAATAGGAGGGTTTAGTAGTAGATTAGACATAACTGAAGAAAGAGTTAGTTAACTGGAAGATAAGTCAGAAGAGATTACAACAACGGTTGACAAACTTCCTCTGTAAAAACTGGATCATAAATATTATAGGATTTGGGGGTTCCTTGTCTGTTACAGCTACTCAGCTCGGCAATTTTAACATGAAAGTATCCATAAACAATATGTAGACAAGTGAGTATGGCTATATCCCAATACAACTTTATTTATATGAAATCTTAATTTTATAACTTTATATCATAAAATATTAGACTTCTTTTCATTCCCCCCCCCTGGGAGATTGTCATACAAAAAAGAGGTGGTGGGTTGCCTTTGACCCACAAGGTGTAATTGACTCACTTCTCATTGAGAATGTAGCATAGCTACATCTGTACATGAAATCATTTCCACACCTTAGGTGTTTTCTTCTCTTGAAACCCTGTGATATTAAAATATTCTTAAAATAACTTTTTGCTTGTGATATTCCAAATGTCATGAAAATAAATGTTTTTCATCTTCATTATATTCTTTTCATTTTATATTTTTGGAATAAATAGATTTTTTAAAATAGATTTGTTTGTGTTTCCTTTGAGAATTCTCTGCTGCTTGTATTGACATGACAGAATCTACAAAAGTTATTCAGACTATTCATGTGCAAAAGCATGTCTTCTAAGTGTAAGATCTGGCCTTCAGGAAGGCAGTTGTTGTTTTGATAGTTAAAAACATGTATGTGCCACAAATATATATATATATATATATATCCTAGTTTCTACGTCATGGAGAGGCAGCCATGAGAGAAGCAGCATACACACACACACACACACACACACACACACACACACATGATGTAGAGTCAGACATGGATTTTAGGCCTAGTTCCACTTCTTACTATTTCTACACTTGAGCATTATTTAAACACTAGGTCCTAGTTTCTCACTTTAGAGTGATGATAAGAATAATAGCCCCCAATGAAACTGTGAGACTGAACCTGTTCTGTATCTTTATCTGCTCCACTGAGAAAGATATAGCCCCAAAGTGAGACCTGGACTCACTTTGCCTCCTACTTCATATCCCATATTCTATTTCTTCACTCATTCATTTAGCAAATATTTCTTGAGCACCAACTATATGTTTTGCAAATGGGATTAGCTTGAAAATTCTAAGTCATATGCATGGCCTTTTAAGCCCTTGATTGGATAGGACTCTTGTGAACTAAAGTCTTAGTGAATGTGTTGGGGGAATAAATGAGAACAGCAAGGAATGGAAAGGGGTAGTATTGCTGGGTAGCATGAGCAACAAGCAGATTTTTTTTTTTTTTTTTTTTAAGTTCTGAGGCTGGGACCCATGCCTTGAGCATGCCAGGCAAATACTTTACTACTGAGCTACATCATCAACCTTTTGTTGTTTTGTTTGGTTTTAATAAGATGGCATATTGGTGGTTTGGATGCACAGGTGGAGTATAGAGAGGATGCCAGTGATCACAAGGTACAAGGGGTTCAGATGAAGGAGAAGCC